TCTTTTTCTAGCTAATTAATTGTTGATTAAACAAGAATTTAAGTTATTGATAAATTTATTTACACTACTAATATTTTTTAATATTGTTGTTTTGTAGGAAACATTGTTGAGAGATAGTAATTGGTAAATAAATTTTATTTATGTAACTTATAAATGAATTTTAATTGTAATTTGATTATTATTATTTGGTTGAAATAATACATAAATATTATATTAATTTATATTTTATCATTTTTTTCAGGAAATGGCTGCTGGTGCCTTATAATATCAAAATTGAGGTAATATTCAATTTTTTTGATTATGCTATTTAATTATATTTACTCAATTTGTCTTATTATTTTTATTTTTAATTATGTTTTAATTCTTAGTTTTAGTAAATAAATTCAACAAATTTTTTATTATAAAATTTAAATGTATATTTATTTTTTATAATATTAACCATTATAAATTAAGATTAATCATCCCATAATCTTTTTTGGTTTGGAGGACATTCATTATTAAATGTGTACATATATTTTATTGCTTATGTGTTGAATGGCTAGTAATACTATTATTTCATATTAACAGTTTTTTGGTTTTAACTAAATTATATACTAATTTATTTCTTTCTCGGTTGCAGAAAGGGGAATGGTGTAAATTTCTTTTTTTTCAATTCCTAAACCACATTACCGATTGGAGCTTTGTTGGTAAAATGCTATTTTTTTTTTTTTGCTTTTTGCTTATTGCCGATTGGAACTTTGTCGGTAAATGCTATATAACCAATTAATTCTTGTAAATCGGCAAGAAATTTACAAATATCTAAATCAAGTTTCTGATTAATTATTTGTTGGTAATTTACTGACATGAGTTGACCGACTGCAACAAACAAGGATGCAATAACCGAGGTAACACGAGGATGCAGTAAACGAGGTCTACAGCTAGAGACATGAAGCTCGTCGGTAATTGACACCTTGACTTACGTGAAAAGCTCCAGTAGTACGGTTCCGGTAGTTAATTTGAGACATGTGTTTTGTTAGTAATTTGGACCAAATTACCGACGTAGCTTCATCTCACATTGGTGAAGTAATTACCGAGGAAGCCAGCACCGAAAAGTACATTACCGACAAAGTATAAGTTGGAAAATTTATTTACTGACAAGCTCACACCTGATTTCCGACATGAGGTTTCATTGGTAATTTTGTGTATTGTTGTAGTGTGGCACAACCACAATGGTCATTGAAGAGCATGTCAAGTGTTATGGTATGGGAGTCTCATAAAAAGGAGTCTAGCTATTATTAGGGTTCACCTCATACAATAATCATTAGCTCAAGGCAAAGTCTTCAAATTCGTCTCTTAAATAGAAGGATAGGGATAAATTTATCCCTTAAAAAGAAGTAGGGACAAATTATCATTTTAAATTATTGATTAAGACAAATTACTTATTATTTAATGTGTAATGTCATCACATGTTAGAAATATCTTTGCCACCTATGCATTTTTTAACAAAAACTGACGTATAATGAGATCATATATTAAATAATTGGTGATTTGTCTTGGTTGATAATTTAAAAGAACAATTTATCTTTGTATTTTTTAAGGGGTGAACCTATCCCTACACTCTTATTTGAGGGGCAAATTTGAAAGTTTCACTTTAGTTCAAAATGGGGGGGGGAGGGGTTTCAATTCGGCCTTTGTTGGTCTAGATCGGTTCGGTGAGTTCAATTTATGATGATGTGGAAGGGGCTCTTTAGACATATTCTCACACTACCCCCTTTGGTGATTTATGGGTCATACAAGAAACGAGATTCTTTTCATGGGATAAGGCATATAGCCAAAATTTATGGCCTATGGTCGCGATAAAAAGCTTGAGCGGTTTTTATGGATCATGGCCCAAGCTCAATGCACATAAGCGAAATGAAAATACTAAAGAGGTTTTTATGGTATGTAGCTAAAGAAAAAATATGCCAAAGTGCTGAGGTGAAGACATATATAAATATATATACATATTTTTGCAAAAAATCTTAATAAAGTATTTGTCAATATCTTAAGAAAAGAACATTAAACTGATATCTCAAAATTTGCACAAAAAATAAATGTAAAGTAAATACTACCACACCATCCATTCTGTCTGAAGGAGTTGGTTCGAACTAAAATGGTTTGGTATGTTTTTGGTACTCAAAGGAATGAAGGGTTTTATCCTTAGCCGACGCATGCATGCATGGCACATGTTATTTTATGGTTAATGTTGCTGAAGAGACGCGTTCATAGCCATTGGATCGTATTGATCTTGGTCATTGAAAGCCTTGACAAGTGTAATATAAAAGGGGCCTTGGGTAATGTTAGGACTGTACCTTATTTGCTATTGCTATCAAAATGTTGCCAAATTCATGTCAGACTGCATGCCTAATTCGTCTCGAAGAGAAAAACTTAGTGAAATTCACAATAACTTTTCATTATTCAGGTAACAATCTATGTCCTTTGCTTCTAGATTGAGTGAAGGGTCTAGATTTGTTTTTCCTATTTTACACTACAAACAAAATGCCCTATACCAATAGAAGTCTATATCAACGGATAGAAGATCCATCTGTATAAATCATATATACTAACGGAAAACTTAAGCCGTTAGTATACATAGGTCTATACCAATGGAAGAATATATCTGTTTGTCACGCCCCATAACCCAAATCCGAGGCGCGACAGACGTCGTGCACTCGTGAGACGGGTCCCACAAACGCACAAGGCTCGGAACTTATCATACTGTATTCTGATACCACCAAAATCTGAAGATCAAATCTTTAAAATTTTCTCTCATATCATAAAATCTCCAATACACTCTAGTTTACAAGATCATGATTTATTTCTAAAAATCTATATCAATCTCGAAATGGCTAGCCTTCTAACTCGTCACTTCCTGTGGTTTCCCCGTCCTCAGTTTCGCTTCCTGAAATGGTGGACAAGGAAAAACTATAAGATAAACTCAATAAGTAAAATATGGAGTGCCCTTATTAAACTTATAGCATGCCAACAAGTACAATCACGAAAAACGGATACAGTGCTGGAACGAAATAGACGTCTCCTCTATAGGTCATGGCCAGTGTTTAAACCTCCCACTGGCAGGCAACAGAAATTACTAGTGTTTAACTCCCACTAGCAGGATTACAGGAATGAACCGGTTCTAATAGGAACATATCGACATGTGCCGACATGTGCTAGCGTTTAACCCCCACTAGTAGGGTTACAAGAACATAACCACATCGGAGACAAAATAGGCTGAAGTTAACAGAAAAACATAATTTACCAATCACTTTCAGATCATCAGGACAATCATTAAATTTCAAGTAGGCATGCTCAATTTAATGAAAAGCATAAGACCTTTCACTTCAAATCAATCATGCTCGTGTAAAATGGGTTTAGTCCCGCCATCACTTCAAAAACAAATCAAAACATGCTTTTAAAAACAGTACAGGCATTACCATAAATTTACTTACCTCACTCCGCAAAACCGAGCACTCAATTCACGTACTAAACTGACAGAACGATTGAGAACCTAATCAAAATACTCAGAATTAATACCGGACTATCACAAATTCACACTGAACACTTCATTAGGATCATTCCTAATCACAATGCTATTTCCATAAATCTCCACATGATCAAATATCTCCAAATTTGTTCTTATATCACAAACTAATCACTTAAATCCCCGTTAATTGTTGGCCCTCGGGGTGTGAACAGTATCGGTGAACAGTACCCCTGACGTGAACAGTAACTCCACTCCCACAAATTGGCCAAAACACTAACTAATCTCACGGGATTTTCCTCTAAAAATCACATAGCAGTCCATTAACACTCAATCATATAAATTCCACTTGAATCAAGCTAAATCATGGTCCTAAAGCTATCAAATTCTTCCCCATTTTTCTAGCAAAATTCGGACATACACAGCCAGCAAACTAAATGGACAATTTCAGCCTTAAAAGGCTGTCACATACCATAATTCTCCAGCTGTAGAAACCGGAGCTACAGGGGGGGAAGAGGCCGGCGGCAAGCTGCAGGGAAGCTCACGGGTCTACCCAAAATTGAAGGAAATAAGAGCAATTAAGGTAAACCCAAGGTAATTCAAGTGAGAAAAGAGGATTTAGGGGCTGTTTCTTACCAGAAAATCAAAGCAATTCACCCCCACAACAAGAGCAGCCGGCGGACAGAGCAAAGCAGATTCGGATTTTCCAGCAGGGGGGAAGAATTCTGGGTTCCAAATCAAGTTCTAGAACAAGAAAGGAAGGGAAAATCATCAAGCTTTACCGGTTTCTCAAAGCATGGCTGGTTCCCCTTTTTTTTTTTTCTTTCGAGTGGCTGTAGCGGGAAGAAAGGAGAAGAAGAGCAGAATCGGGCAAGGCTAGGAAGAAAAGAAAGAAAGAAAAAGAAAAAGAAAAGAAGTTGATTCTTATCCAATATTTTCCCCTTTTTAAGTCCCTCAACTTTCAGAGTATTCACATTAGGACCCAAAACAATCTTTTCTCACAATCAAGTCCCTAACTTACTTATTTATCCTAGAAATTTTTGGGGTATCACACCGTTAGTATAGGCTTGGTTTATACAAACGATTTAGTAATTATCCGTCTATATACAGTGTCTATTCCAACAGCAGTTATTATGTGTTTGTATAAATATATCTCTATAGATAGATTAGTGTTATGTTTGTATAATTCCTATTTCTTAAACACTTTATTTTTTCCTTTTAATTTCAACTTACTTTATTTTTGCTTCCCACCGTAGAGTCCCTAATTTCCCTCCCTAATTTATGAGCTTCCCTCCTTGGTAGACTAGACCCAAGTAATGTTGACAAGCATCGACTCTCTAATTTTCAAGCTTTATTTATGCTAAAACTCATACTCCTTTCCACAGATTCCCCATTTTCCCTCCCTAATTTCTGAGCTTCCCTCCTCACAGATCTCCAAAATTTGTAATTGATTTTGCTAAAACTCAAAAACCCATTCGAACCCAATTGCAAAATTCGTTTCCTCCACTCTAATCCATCAATGATAGAGGGTTTCTCACAGCCAACTGTAGCCCCGCTTGTTCTCTCCTTTCCATCAACCGTGGTACCGCCGCTTCTCTCTCTCTCTCTCTCTCTCTCTGTTTCTATACGATTCCATTAGGCTGTGCATGCTCACCTTTGCTATTACTGGTTTCATTTTTGTTTTTCGATTGTTTGGTTTCTGAGAAAAAGTGAGGATTTTGCTTGATTTTCAAGTCTCAAAGTTACATATGTGAGAAATAAATATTTAGATTGAATTTAAATATCTATAGTCCAAAATGACTTGTGTTGAAATTGTTTAAGTGGTTTGTTTGATTGCTCAGAAATAGTTGAAAGATAGTGTCAAGCTTCTTGATTATTGATTTGCTTGCTTTTTTTGGTATGTTGCATCTTGGCTTAAGTGAATGATTGTTCTATTCAGAATTAGGATTAAACATATATATACTTTTTATAGTGCACTTGTTACACTAATTTTGTGATTGTCAAGTTGTTATTAAAATGATTGGCATTGTTACTATATGTCATAATTAATTAATTGTCTACCTAACCATTTTGTGTTGAGTTCTCCACAATGATCTCTTTAGATTTAGAATCCAATTTTTTCTTTCACTCTATTTTTCTATATGTTTCTTTTTGGTCTTACTTCTGATGGCAATTTATACAATTACACTTAAAAGGGGTATATTAATTTTTAAAAACTAACATTTTAAGTTAGGCCTCTTAAATTTGAAACTTGTAACTAATAGAGAGATATTTACAAGTTAGGAAGTATATTTTCTAATGTATTGCCTAATCATCAAATGAATAAAAAATAAAGCAGCAGATAACCCTTTGTTTCATAAATTGACCCTAAAATTTCAAACTTCAAATCCAATAAACTCAAAACATTGAATTTGACCCCTAATGAACCTTTTTAATTTTTAGTTTGTATTTTGAATTCTTAAGAAAAGAAACAACGGCTCAAATTAAAGCATCTGATGTGGAAAGAACGATTGACATTGGAAACATTTTTGCAAGCAAGTGAAGGTGATGACTGTAATTATTCCAAACAGATCACTATCAATCACATGGAGACCTAAGTTTGGTCGGCTTGTTACACTAATTTTGTGATTGTCAAGTTGTTTTTTTTCCTTTTCTTTATTTTTTTTGGCATTGGAAATGCATTTTGACACTACCCTTATTATAGCTAGAAAACATATTATAGTCCTTTGATCCCTTATTTGTAATTTTTGTTTTTCAAAATATTATTTTAGTTCTTTTGTCCTTTTTCTGGACAAGTTTAGAATTTTTGGTTGTTGGTTAACTCTGGATTCCTAGCTTCCTGCTATTAATTTCCAAATCTGTTGAGGATCTTGTTAAAGACAATACTTGAGAGTAGCCTTCGGTTTTACTGAGAGAAGAAGAAGGCTAGTCAATACCTAATGCACTTGTAATTTGGTTGATTTGTGCTGATTTGTTCCTAATTCAAATGTAGTTTAAGTTTATTGGTAATTGCTTCTTCTTTTTCTTTCTTTCTTTCTTTCCGATTACAATTTCTTTCTTTAATGCTATTGATTTGGTGTCTTTTGTTGGTTGGTCCTTTTGCTATGCAACCAAACAATGGTTGTATTTTGCTTGGTTGAATAATAATTTAAATTTAAGCCATGTATCGTTGATTAGCAGCTATTACTGTTTGACTGAGTTCTGGACAGTTCCAACCCAAAATACAATTTTAGCTTAAGAATAGTTTAAGGAGCAATTTATTAATGTTAGTCAAGCTCGTTGGTTCTCGTCTTAAATTTTCAACTCAATTAGGCAGTGGTGTAACCTTCCCTTATTCTAAATTTTATACTGCCAAAAAAAGAGAGAGTATAGAAAATGTTTAGATTTTGTCAAAATTTTGAGGTTATGTTGTTGCATTAGGTACATATCAAGTTTCACTTCACATATAAGGTTGTCAAACTAAAATCTTAGTTAAAGTTTAGACTTTACATATATAAATAAGCATGCAACATCCAAAGTTTTTCCTCTTCATGTTGGCAGTTCCCAACTTCAATCCTCAATGTTGAAACACTGTAGGTTGTTGCTGTTGCTTCTAGCTAGTTCTATTTGTTGGTTTCTTTGTGGTAACTCCTGTTTAAGTTGACCAAAATATGAAATAAAAAAACCAAAAAAAAAAAA